GGGCCCTCATACCACCCTCATGGAGTCTGTTTGTGACCGTTTGAGCAGACACATGCACATTTGTGGCCTGCTGGAGGTCATTTTGCAGGGCTCTGGCAGTGCTCCTCCTGCTCCTCCTTGCACAAAGGCGGAGGTAGCGGTCCTGCTGCCTGGTTGTTGCCCTCCTACGGCCTCCTCCACGTCTCCTGATGTACTGGCCTGTCTCCTGGTAGCGCCTCCATGCTCTGGACACTACGCTGACAGACACAGCAAACCTTCTTGCCACAGCTCGCATTGATGTGCCATCCTGGATGAGCTGCACTACCTGAGCCACTTGGGTGGGTTGTAGACTCCGTCTCATGCTACCACTAGAGTGAAAGCACCGCCAGCATTCAAAAGTGACCAAAACATCAGCCAGGAAGCATAGGAACTGAGAAGTGGTCTGTGGTCACCACCTGCAGAACCACTTCTTTATTGGGGGGTGTCTTGCTAATTGCCTATAATTTCCACCTGTTGTCTATTCCATTTGCACAACAGCATGTGAAATGTATTGTCAATCAGTGTTGCTTCCTAAGTGGACAGTTTGATTTCACAGAAGTGTGATTGACTTGGAGTTACATTGTGTTGTTTAAGTGTTCCCTTTATTAATTTTTTAGCACTGTAAGAGCAGCTGCTAGGCTAAATTAACAAACTAGGGATGCATCGCTCACCGCATGATCCTCACACCAAAGAAGGGCCAAACTCCTGTTTCTAAAAGTGAATTCAAAAGGCACTGTTGAATGACTGTATAGCCTAATAAGGCATTTTGCGTTATTATTTTATTCTAAGTCATAATATATATATTTTTTTATTTTATACAGCCTAAATGTATTGGCATGTTGTTGATGTGTTGTTGTTGAAATGCTGAGCTCTCCTGCCAGTCTGTAGCGTGTCACAATGCATCACACTTTATTTCTTAAATGGCGGGCTATAGCCTAAATAAGGCTACCTGGTTTGCTCCTGACTGATTTTGAGTTAGTAGTTGTTTAATACACTACCGGTCAAAAGTTTTAGAACACCTACTCATTCAAGGGTTTTTCTTTTTTTGCCTTAGACCACTGCGCCACTCGGGAGATATCCCATATGCATCGGAGTCACGTCTTTCCCCGGAATTTGACAGCTTGTTTTTAGCATTGCGGACTAAAGCGTCATTATAGATTGCTTTATATAAATCAGGTCCATTACATTTTTTCGAAATCTTAAGCTAACAAGGGGTAGGACTATGCTTTAAGCCACAATACCCTCACAAACCCCTTCAATTCGAGCCCTGTTTTTTAACTTAACACACCAAGCCCTTCACTGACACTGAGATATTTAAGGAGTGCACGGTGACTGAAGGAATTGGCTAACTCTATGGATAGTAGACTATAATTAATTCTGTCAAACAGGTAGGCCTACCTCTTGTTTCTTGAATAGGAAGAAATAGGCTCCAACACAAAGCCCTCTTGTTGTTAGTTGCCTAAAGTCTAATTAAAATGAAGACTGTTTTAATGAATTAGGCCTTCTCGAATTAGCCTACTTTCAGCACCCAATGCGCTGTCCATCTCCACGGCAGCCGCTTCATAGTAATGTAAGTTATGTAAATTACCAGAATATGGCTTATTGTGAGGTCAATAACTCGGACATATAGCTTCATTATGGGCAACAAAATATATTGTTTTTATTCAAATCAATTATAGTAGCAGCAATCCCTACCAGGGCAGATCAGGGCTCATGATATCCATATTATATACACACCATCCCAGCAGCGCAAAAACTCAGGAAGGGAGTACCATTTTCTTAGAAATATAACTATGCCCTGTGCTCCCAGCATGCTCGTCGTAAACCCTAGGCCTATAGTCTATAGTTTAGGTTATGGATCATTAGATTGAGACCACACTAGGAGCACTTGATATAGTGGTCCTCTGTAGCTCAGCTGGTAGAGCACGGCGCTTGTAACGCCAAGGTAGTGGGTTCGATCCCCGGGACCACCCATACACAAAAATGTATGCACGCATGACTGTAAGTCGCTTTGGATAAAAGCGTCTGCTAAATGGCATATTATTATTATTATTATTATTATTATAGTGCGCCCAGGAGAATCAGGGATGATGGGGCAGCATCGGGCACACATCGAGACATAACAAAGCAACTAATTCTCAAACCCTGAGCAATATGACATTTAAATCAATTACATATTACATGAACCTCAACTGGACCCCCCCCCAAAAAAATAAAAACTTCCCCTAACTGAAATTTAAAAAGCATGACCGTCCCCCTATTTTCCTCCGGGTAACAATTGTGTACGTTTCGACCACTCCTTAAAATGGCACCGTGACCTCTTAGGTCCTAAAGACCACCCTTTTACTGAGAGACAGTGAGTGGTTCTTCCTTGAACCCAGTGACGGACTGCTAGGGGAGGAAGTGGGAGCGTGTCGTGTACGATCATCCATACTACTACAACCATGACTCATCATTACCATTATAACCAGTAAACAATGATCCATTTGTGAGTGTAAAGAATTGCTCTGGAATCCACAACTCAACCGTAATTAACATATACGTTATTTACCTCAGTTGCTTCACCGATATGCTGTTGTGTAATTGGAAAATCACATAATAGAAAATAAACTGCAGCATACGTTATGTTAGAGACTGGGATAAATGGCCCTACAGAACATATTGTAATTGAGCATGTTAATCTCATGCAGATAATCTCCCACCATGTCTGAATAATGCTGTAAGGCCTTTTAGATACTCTGCTGCGTCTCAAAATGGCACCCTATTCCATTTATAGTGCACTACTTTTCGACCAGAACAGGGAATAGGGTGCCATTTGGGACAAACGCTGAGTCGTTGCAGAGTTTTGCCTCTATTGTTGGAAGCTCCATAATCACCACATTGTCATTAATCCGTTTCTACCTCGTTGGAAAGCCTGTAAAATCTCCTGGGTTTCAGTTCAGATTCACTGGAAGTAAGTCGAATGCACCCAATTTGTAAGTCGCTCTGGATAAGAGCGTCTGCTAAATGACTTAAATGTAAAATGTAAGTAGCTGGGTGACTTGAAGTGCCTGCTGGAGAGGAATAAAGCTTTTACAGCAGGACCAGAATCCCTGTCTCTCTCCCCTGACACCCTCAAGTCTGATCTGACGGGCATATTTGCATAGCTTCGGATAGGTGGAATGGCATGGCTCAGTCCCAAATGGTACCATATTCCCTATTTAGTGCACTAGTTGGTCAAAAGTAGTGCACTATATAGGGAATAGGGTGCTATTTGGGACACACACAGCCACGCTCACTGAAAAGCTTGTTTTTGAATGAAACACTCCTGGAGGATTAGTTCAAGGACACACCACAGCCTGTGTCAAGCTTTTCCCCTGGTCTCTCCAGTCCTTTGGTAAATTAGTATCCCTTGAAACCATTGTTTTGCATCCACAGCTGGATCCCATTGAGTCCTGCATACAGGCCAACGATGCCGTGCCTCTGATTGACTGCAGTAAACACGACTAAAACCAGCTTTAAGCAGTTTACTCAGCTCCCTCACAAACACAAACAAACACACACATTACACTAATTGCAAGGTTCTGTTGGGTTGAGCGACATGTCCTCCCCACCCACCAGCATGATGTCTGAAACTTAATACTGAGTTAAAACTCTAAGTTAATACTGAGTTATGACTGCATTATTCCAACAGACCTTAGAAAATATTCAACAATATTTCAGTCGTGTTTCTAAGTACTCCTCCACACATTTCAGTTTTCTTTCTAAATCACAAAACCCTGATCACCCACAGGGTTACATAAGTTGCTGTAGTTTCCTCTAACATGATAACTAGAAAATACGCAGTGCAATACTTTAGACCAGAGCCATATGGGCCCTGTTCAAAACAAGTGCACTCTAGCACTATAAAGGGAATAGGGCTCTGGTCTAAAGTAGTGCACTACATAGGGAATAGGGCTCTGGTCTAAAGTAGTGCACTATATAGGGAATAGGGTTCTGGTCTAAAGTAGTGCACTACATAGGGAATAGGGTACCATTTTGGACACAGCCTGGTTAATCTCTGCTTGCCAGATGCTAATGCTTCAGGAGGTTGTAATGGGACAGCACCTTATGCCAATGGAAGACAATTTACAGCAACTTCACCAGACAAATCATCTTATGGACGGTTCACAATATCCTTGTTGGCATTGCGCCGAACGTAAATCCTTCCAACTGGAGTGACAGATAGCTTAGCAGATAAACAGAATGTGGAAAGTGGGCCAGCACAATTGCCATTGGCTTTTTTGGTGATGTAACGGTCCCACCTCCTCTCTCCCCCGTGCCCCTCTACCCCCTCCCACATATGTAATCCTCCACCTCCTTGTGATTTTGGCAGGAGAGGGCCCCGGGTCTTGCCTGCTAGCTTTATGAGCTGTTAGAATTTCAGAAGCCATCTTGTAAACAACCAATTAAATGAGAAAAGATCACGAGAGACTGCATACCTGCCTGGAAGGAACCATAAAATCTAATAAGGGGGGGAAAAGGTTGGCCTGGTAGAGGAGCGCTGCATAGAATAATTACAGCTGGGGAATTTCTCCTTCCTCTCCACCCCTCAGGAGGACTGCTCCAACAGGAGGCCGTGATGTGAGGGCAGATCTAAACAGAGAGAGGAGGTGGTCCTCTGTAGCTCAGCTGGTAGAGCATGGCGCTTGTAACGCCAAGGTAGTGGGTTCGATCCCCGGGACCACCCATACACAAAAATGTATGCACGCATGACTGTAAGTCGCTTTGGATAAAAGCGTCTGCTAAATGGCATATTATAATATTATTAAGAGGAACTTGTGGTTTTGTAAAATGTAGGTGACTGTTATCTAACTAAGAGGATGTCGTCTGTCAAAGTCTTTAGATCAGAATAATAGTAGTGGAGAAAGTAGATAGGAAAGAGATACGAGATACGAGAGATTCCAAAAGGCTGTTCAGACTTCCATTTTGTCCCATTTGAATCCGTTGTGTAGCGGTAACGCCTACTGATTGGCTGTAGTGTAGTTGTGGGACCGGCCTGGTGACCGCTGGGAGGTTCGCCGCTTCACATCCCAGGCGGACATCCTAGAGCTGTGAGGAAGAATGAGACGCGGAGCCCCTGGTCTGGTGAGGAATAGGGTCATCAGTGTGAGGAATAGGGTCATCAGTGTGAGGAATAGGGTCATCAGTGTTGACCACAGACATAATGACGGCACATACATACCCCAAATTTGAACAAATGAAACCACCGACAACACAAGGATGTTTTTTTTTTTGTTTTTTTGCTTGTCCTTATATTTGAAACACAGGCATGGTATGTGGGTCTACAGGCCAGACACAGACAATAATTGTTCTGTCAGACCTACTGATATTGCTTGGTAATACTGTACATTTAGAACACCAATTGTCACACTGACATGCCATACAATACGGGCAACACTTGAGAGAGAGAGAGAGAGAGACTGTGGCATTGCAAACACAGTGGAGCCTTCTCTCCACATCATCCAGCGTGTGTGCGTGTGTGTGTGTGTGTGCGCGTGGGGGGGTGGGGGGGGGTGGTCTTGTCCTCTAGGGAACCAGACATGTCTTAATCACGTAGCCCCACCCACCCCAACTGCATGCAAAAACACTGACCATTTCATTCCACTAAATCAGAGAGAGACAGTGTTGAGACTGACTTGTCTGTCCTCCATTCCCTCACCTGTATTGGATGGAGGAAGGCTTGACCTCTCCTCGTAAACTCTAGGGCCAAATCACACCCTATTCCCTATACAGACGTAAGGAGTAGGGTGCCATTTGGAACGGTAGACAGGAGGAAGTGGGAGGGTGGGGGGGGGTGTGGTTCCTCACCGCTGATTCACCTGGGGCTGCGTCACAAATACCACCATATTCCCAGGGCTCTCCAACCCTGTTCCTGGAGAGATACCCTGCTGTAGGTTTTTCGCTCCAACCCCAGTTGTAATAAACCTGATTCAGTTTATCAACCAGCTAATTATTAGAATCAGGTGTGCTAGATTAGGGTTGGAGTTAACACCTACAGGACAGTAGCTCTCCAGGAACAGGGTTGGAGTTAACACCTACAGGACAGTAGCTCTCCAGGAACAGGGTCGGAGAGCCCTGCCCTTTACAGAACACCATGAGTGCTGGTCAAAAGTAGTGCACTATATAAGGAATAGGGTCTTGGAAATAACCAATAGAACTACAGCAAACGGACAACATAGTTGTTAAAGGGTACCTACATAAAGGGATTTATTACACATTCTTAAGCCATACATAATACTTCATAAATGCTTACGTACTGTTTATGAATGTGTTATGAAGTCCTTATGTACGTGCCATTTAAATAAAGCGTTACCAACCTATCATTAACGATCTCTTTTTCTGACACACAGCCAATTGAACCATTATTCTGCATAACTATGTAGATTACACATTACATCTTTATTATGAACCTGTTTTGGTCTCTGGGACATATCTTTTATTTCACTAGCTGTTATCAGTAGCACATATGGCGCTCACCGGATCAGAGTAGTTGGTTTTTAAATTGATTGCAAAGTGAAGACAGTCGCTCATTAGAATGTGTTTCTACCTCCCACATTATGATGTGCTTGCGGTGTCCTGAAAACAAGCAACGCTTTGCCAATGAAAGACAAATTGATTCCTCCACATTGCTGCCAAGTGCCAAGCCTAACTGCCACCCAGTGAACAGACTGGCAAATCATCTAATGACAATGTGTGTATTGTTCCCCTCTTCAGATATGATGTCTGCCAAACTGAACCAATTCATCTGCAGTCCTCCAACGCTTGTGTTTATATATCCACGCCATGGGAAGTCCGAGAAACAAGGTTTCTAAAAGGTTTGTATCTTTAGATTGGAAGCTCCTCATCATTGTACTGTGTATCCCAAGAGAGAGGAATTCAGCGTCACACAGACTGAATTTCACTAGAATAGTTTCTTTTATAGCCTCCCTTCTCGGTTTCAAGAGTCAGTGAAAATAGTGCACAATTATGATCCAACAGAAAAAGCTCCTACTCCCGGTAGTCGATATATCAGCATCCATGAGGATCTTTCTCTATAAGCTGTTTTTTTTTTTTTTAAACAGAGGGCCCTGATATGGGGCCATGTTGAGATATGGGGCCTTTACTGGCTCTCACTGAAAAGGCCCTGAGCCGAAACTGTTATCCCACTGAGAACACTGCTGCTCCAACTGGTCTAGCAGTCTGTCCACCGAGTCCTCCTTATTGTCCAGCTTCAGGTACCTGCGGGCACAGCCCAGGTCTAACCGGGGCCAGCTGCGGTGCCTCTGCTCCTCTACGGGAGTGAGCTCCGGGGGCTCCACACCTCCACCTCCACACCCAACCATGTTCACACACGCGTCTGAGCTGGGCTCCCTCCGCGTGGGCTTGGCCCGCACTATCTCTGGGTCTGCCCCAGGTCCCCTGGGTCGCATGGCCCCTTCCTGTAGACATATTACAGTCTGGGGCCCGTGGGGCCCGTGGGGGCCGGGGTTAGTCCTGTAGCTCAGACTGTGGGAGCGCCTGGGCAGCGTGGCTGTGACCTCCGACCTCTCCCAGTCATCCCCTCCCAGAGTGGACAAGGACATGGAGCTGGCTGACACCAGGTAGTTGTTGAGCTTAAAGAGGTGAGCAGGCTGGGGGTCCGGGCTGAAGCCCCCTACCCCTGGATCACCAGCACCACCGGCCCTCTGCGTGTTGAAGTCAGTCTTGCTGGAGTTGCAGGAGTTGGAGTGGGAGGAGTGGAGGGAAGGGGTGGAGGCTGACTCCTGGTGGTGTAGTGCCTCTGTCTGTAAGGTGGCCTGCTGGTACGTACAGTCAGCTGCCCTGTCCTCCTGCCTGCTGTCTCTGGTCGTCTGCAGCAGGGGCTCTAAGCTGGCCAGCTGCTGCAGATAGAGGATGTTAAGGTGGGCGGCGGGCAGACTGCTCACCCACTGGTAGTGTCTGGCCATGGAGTTGGCTGCTGCCATGTCTGAGAGGTCGGCCGAGGGCACGGCCGCCGACACCGAGCAGATGACGCTCCGCATCTGGGCCAGCAGCACCTGGGTCTCCCTGTCGCGGTTCTCGTACAGCACCGTGTTGGCACAGATGAGGATGAACAGCCCCACACCCATGATGACCGGTCCCAGGAGCTTCATCCTCTCACTGTGGATCAGATTGGCCGTGGTCAGGAGGCTCTTAGCCCCCAGGCTCCAACCGGATGACTGGGGCTCAGAGACACCCCCACCTCCACCTCCACCTCCTCCTGCACCATCTACAGAACCAGAGCCTTGTTGGCCAACTCCTAGCAGCTGGGAACGGTGGGTCCGGTAGGGCCAGTACCCAGCCACTGCCAGGGCCGTGCCCACCAACACCACCATGACCCCCAGCACCAGGAAGGCTCCTGGCATGGAGCGAATGCGCAGCTTGCCGCGGATCAGGCCCTCCTTCTTTTGTCCCCGCAGGCTGAAGCCAGACATCCGTTGGTGGGGGGTGGGGGAGCTTGGCGTCGGGCCCCCGGGGGGGTCGGCCTTCTGGGTCTTCATGGTGCGGCTCGGTCCAGTGCCCTATCGGAACACTGTGGAAGGGGGGGCAAAGTTCAAGGGTTAGGAAGACACATTTCCTATGGACTATCTTTTTTTTATATATACTGTTGTTGATATTGTTCACCTTTCTCCCACACCCTTTTTTTCTACTTTGTTTTGTTCCTCTTTTTTAATCTTCTAAAGGTGTGTTGTGAGCCCACTTTAAATCAACTTTTTGACTTGACTTAACTGATGCTACACTGCATCCTTATCCTGTAAACACTGAACTCTTCAGCCTCTTAGAATTCATTATAACATGTTCTCACTTTCATACTGCCGATACTTTGCTGTTCTATTGTTCTATTGTAAAAATAGCTTCTGGTGTGTGACACGACCAAATGTTTCCCCTTGTGAAATACTTTGTTAAAAACATTTAATTTACAAGAGAGATACTGAAGTTATTTTGTGAATATTTGTATTCCTTGCATAGATTTTACATTTGTTTATGTTAATATTCACAGAAAACAATTCAAGTTATAGCTTACTCCTCTAACAAACTGTTCCAAACCATTAATGTTGGTCGCGAGCCGGGGAAACACTCACATGACCATAAACAAGGTGAAAGCCCACATTACCATAAACAAGGTGAAAGCCCACATGACCATAAACAAGGTGAAAGCCCACATGACCATAAACAAGGTGAAAGCCCACATGGCCATAAACAAGGTGAAAGCCCACATGGCCATAAACAAGGTGAAAGCCCACATGACCCATAACACGGTGAAACCCACATGAACCATAAACAGGTGAAAGCCCACATGGCCATAAACAAGGTGAAAGCCCACATGACCATAAACAATGTGCAAGCCACATGTTCATAAACAAGGTGAAAGCCCACATGGCCATAAACAAGGTGAAAGCCATCATGACCATAAACCAGTGAAAGCCCACATGACATAAACAAGTGAAAGCCCACATGGCCATAAAACAGTGAAAGCCCACTGACCATAAACAAGGTGAAAGCCCACATGGCATAAACAAGGTGAAAGCCCACATGGCCATAAACAAGTGAAAGCCCACATGGCATAAACAAGGTGAAAGCCACATGACCATAAACAAGGTGAAAGCCCACATGACCATAAACAAGGTGGGGTGAAATGGAAAAACTGCTTCAAACACTTTGACTGCAATTAAGCTGCTAAGCAACAACACCTTTATATCCTTACCCCTATACCAAGCTGATCTGATGACAGCACCTAACACTCAAAAACACATAAAAGTCTAATAAACGTTAAGATTATTTTGTCACACACCATCAATATGTCCCGTCCATTGTCAAATGTAGCCTGAAGTCTCGCTCCAGACGACACAGAGAAAAACAGAAAGGCTTTTCTTCCATCTTCTTGACTTCACAACATACAGTACGTCACATCAATTCTGTGGTCTCTCTTTAAAGGCTAAGGCATGTCTTCCTCTTCACGGTTTGATAAATATTCATACACACAGACAGACAGATGGGGGGCCACAGGCCTCATCCTTTGGCTGGAGTTCATCAAAGCCCTTTAGATATGGTTTAGAATGAATGATGAAGCACGGGCCAACTTCACAGGGTCCAAACTGGTCTCCCATAGGACTTCTTTATTCATACAGTATACACTACATGACCTAAAGTATGTGGACACCTGCTCGTCAAGCATCTCATTCCAAAATCATGGGCATTAATATGGAGTTGGTCCCCCCCTTTGCTGCTACAACAGCCTCCACTCTTCTGGGAAGGCTTTCCACTAGATGTTGGAACATTGCTGCGGGGACTTGCTTCCATTCAGCCACAAGAGCATTAGTGAGGTCGGGCACTGATGTTGGGGCGATTAGGCCTTGCTCGCAGTTGGCGTTCCAATTCATCCCAAAGGTATTCGATGGGGTTGAGGTCAGGGATCTGTGCAGTCAAGTTCTTCCACACCGATCTCGACAAACCATTTCTGTATAGACCTCGCTTTGTGCACGGGGGCATTGTCATGCTGAAACAGGAAAGGGCCTTCCCCAAACTGTTGCCTTAAAGTTGGAAGCACAGAATCGTCTAGAATGTCATTGTATGCTGTAGCATTAAGATTTCCCTTCACTGGAACTAAGGGGCCTAGCCCGAACCATGAAAAACAGCCCCAGACCATTATTCCTCCTCCACCAAACTTTACAGTTGGCATTATGCATTCGGGCAGGTAGCGTTCTCCTGGCATCCACCAAACCCAGATTCGTCTGTCGGACTGCCAGACGGTAAAGCGTGATTCATCACTCCAGAGAACGCGTTTCCACTGCTCCAGAGTCCAATGGCGGCAAGCTTTACACCACTCCAGCCGACGCTTGGCATTGCGCATGGTGATCTTAGGCTTGTTTTATCAAACAAAACTATGCTACATTTTATCTCTGGGACCCTCAGGATGACATATCAGAGCAAGATTACTGAATGTAAGTACATTATTTACCTTCAGAGGTGAATGTATCAGACCAGTTTCCGTGATACGTTTTTGTTGTTGTGCACTCTCCTCAAACAATAGCATGGTATTTTTTCACTGTAATAGCTACTGTAAATTGGACAGTGCAGTTAGATTAACAATAATTTAAGCTTTCTGCCCATATAAGACATGTCTATGTCCTGGAAAGTTGGCTGTTGTTTACAACGCCATTCTAGTCACATATCTCATATTGAGCAGCAACCATCCCGGTATAGGGACGCCGAGCCTGTAGAGTTTAAATGTACACGGAGAGCTAACATTAATAATATGCATGTCAATCTCTCATTACTCAAAGTGGAGGAGAGATTGACTTCATCACTACTTGTTTTTGTAAGAAGTGTTGTCAAGCTGAATGGACACCATTTTATCCCCCACAAGACATGCCACCAGAGGTCTCTTCACAATCCAAGTCCAGAACAGACTATGGGAGGCGCACAGTACTACATAGAGCCATGACTACATAGAACTCTATTCCACATCAGGTAACTGATGCCAGCAGTAGAATCAGTAGTACACTTTATGGAACAGTGGGTACTGTGAAGAGACACACACACAGGTACAGACACACACACACACACAAACGCTAGAACAAGCACTCTACTCACACATACATTGTAATATTGTTGTATCGTGGTATTATACATTTTGTATTGTAGATATGTAGTAGTGTAATAATTTTATATGATGTACTGTTTTATCTTTTGTTTTATGTGTGATGCAAGTGCCTTAATGTGTTTGGACCCCAGGAAGAGTAGCTGCTGCCTTGGCAGCAGCTAATGGGGATCCCTAATATATACAAATACAAATGCCTCTGGCCTCCATGCCCCTGGCCATCTTGCCCCTGGCCACCATGCCACCATGCCCCTGGCCACCTTTCCCCTGGCCACCATGCCCCTGGCCACCATGCCCCTGGCCACCTGGCCTCCATGCACCTGGCCACCTGGCCACCATGCCCTTGGCCACCTGGCCTCCATGCCCCTGGCCACCATGCCCCTGGCCACCTTTCCCCTGGCCACCTGGCCTCCATGCACCTGGCCACCTGGCCACCATGCCCTTGGCCACCTTGCCACTGGCCACCATGCCATCATGCCCTTGGCCACCTGGCCTCCATGCCCTTGGCCACCATGCCCTTGGCCACCTGGCCACCATGCCCCTGGCCACCTTGCCCCTGGCCACCTTGCCCCTGGCCACCTTGCCCCTGGCCACCTTGCACCTCTGATGTATTCTCTGGGTTTGAAGAACATTGAGAAGAGAAAAACGAACAAACTGTCCCCCAGAAGAGGAATGACTAGATGTGGCCAATTCAACTGGTCTGAAATAACAAACTGTACTCTGGCAGGAGTCACAGAGCCAGGGTCCTCTCTACTCTCAGAGCCTGGGTCCTCTCTACTCTCAGAGCCAGGGTCCTCTCTACTCTCAGAGCCAGGGTCCTCTCTACTCTCAGAGCCAGGGTCCTCTCTACTCTCAGAGCCAGGGTCCTCTCTACTCTCAGAGCCAGGGTCCTCTCTACTCTGGCAGGAGTCTCAGAGCCAGGGTCATCTCTACTGTGGCAGGAGTCACAGAGCCAGGGTCCTCTCTACTCTGGCAGGAGTCACAGAGCCAGGGTCCTCTCTACTCTGGCAGGAGTCACAGAGCCAGGGTCCTCTCTACTCTGGCAGGAGTCACAGAGCCATGGTCCTCTCTACTATGGCAGGAGTCTCAGAGCCAGGGTCCTCTCTACTCTCAGAGCCAGGGTCCTCTCTACTCTCAGAGCCAGGGTCCTCTCTACTCTCAGAGCCAGGGTCCTCTCTACTCTCAGAGCCAGGGTCCTCTCTACTCTCAGAGCCAGGGTCATCTCTACTCTCAGAGCCAGGGTCCTCTCTACTCTCAGAGCCAGGGTCCTCTCTACTTTCAGAGCCAGGGTCCTCTCTACTCTCAGAGCCAGGGTCCTCTCTACTCTCAGAGCCAGGGTCCTCTCTACTCTCAGAGCCTGGGTCCTCTCTACTCTCAGAGCCAGGGTCCTCTCTACTCTCAGAGCCTGGATCCTCTCTACTCTCAGAGCCAGGGTCCTCTCTACTCTCAGAGCCAGGGTCCTCTCTACTCTCAGAGCCAGGGTCCTCTCTACTCTCAGAGCCAGGGTTCTCTCTACTCTCAGAGCCAGGGTCCTCTCTACTCTCAGAGCCAGGGTCCTCTCTACTCTCAGAGCCAGGGTCCTCTCTACTCTCAGAGCCAGGGTCCTCTCTACTCTCAGAGCCTGGGTCCTCTCTACTCTCAGAGCCTGGGTCCTCTCTACTCTCAGAGCCAGGGTCCTCTCTACTCTCAGAGCCAGGGTCCTCTCTACTCTCAGAGCCAGGGTCCTCTCTACTCTCAGAGCCAGGGTCCTCTCTACTCTCAGAGCCAGGGTCCTCTCTACTCTCAGAGCCAGGGTCCTCTCTACTCTCAGAGCCAGGGTCCTCTCTACTCTCAGAGCCTGGGTCCTCTCTACTCTCAGAGCCAGGGTCCTCTCTACTCTCAGAGCCTGGGTCCTCTCTA